GTCATAGGACAACTTCTGGGAGTCAGTTGTCTCCTTCCATCTTTATGTGAGGCTTGAACACAGGTCATCAGACTTATGCAGCAAGTGCTTTTTACTGCTGAGCCATCTTGTCAGTTCTTGAGTGGATAAGAAAAGATGATACAAAGAAAACTTAAACTTCATTCAGCATTTATTAGTGAAGCTGGCTTTACGTTGTTGCAGCATTCCATGCCCCTTCCAGAAGAATGGCTGCTTTATGAAAAAAAATCAAGTTTTTCAGTGTAAAATACAAGAGCTAAGAATGAAGTTTTTAAATAGCAGTATTAAATTTGAAGCATCAGTATGAAATCGCCATTTCAGCAGTTAAAACTTTTAACTGGATAATGTACATATAGAGACGTATAGGGCAGGTGTACAGTGTGAATTTCCAAACTACATACATCAGTCACATAGGCACCCAAATCAAGTGACAAAACAGTGCTGCCATCCGAGAACCATCATGCTGTTTCTATAACTACCACCCCTGTGCAGCACACACACACCCCCAACCACTATCCTGGCTTCTAACTACATAGAAAAGTCTCAAATCTGTGCTTACTTAATACTCTCATTTAACCGCTGTATTCTTTTTAAAATGTACCTGTGGCTGCCCAGGGGGCATCCATGGGACCTGAATGGATTATCACGGAGCTGAAAAAGACCAGGGGACTCGTGCGTCTGAAGAAATAGAAACCGCCCGAGTCCCTTAGTCTTTTTTTCAGTTCTATGATAATCCATTCGAGTACTGTGGTTGCCCCCCTGGCGGCCACACGTACCATCCAGAAGCCAGGTTTGGAGGTGCCTGCCTGTAATCTCAGCACTTAGGAAGCTCAATGAGTTTGAGGCCAGCCAGTGAGACGCTGTCTCAAAAACGAAGAAAAAAAAAGTACCAACAAGTATTTTTTCTGGAAAACAGATTATCCAATCTTGAAGACCCCAGTATGCAAATATAGTAGCTGGGAATAAAAACTGTGAATTTGGCCCTAGTTTGTGCTTTCGATTTAAAGATCAATTGTATCACGAAGTGGTACACAGAGAAATGCAACTTCACTGTGAAATCATGTTTCAAAGATCTTTTTGTAAATTTTTTTTTGGCCTTTTTGAGACAGAGGCTCTCTGTAGCCCCAGCTGTCCTGGGACTCACCACGTAGACCAGGCTGGCCTTGAATTCACAGAGATCCGCCTGCCTCTGCCTCCCGAGTGCTGGGATTAAAGGCATGTGCCACCACGGTCGGCATAAATTTTTATCTTTTTATTTTATGTGTATGAGTGTATTGCCTGCATGTTATGTGTGTGCACACGTGTTGTGCAATGCCGCGGAAGTCAGAAGAGGACTTCGGATTCCCCTGGAACTGGAGTTATGGACAGTTTGTAGCTGCCATGTGGGTGCTGGGAATCGAACCCGGGTCCTCTGCAAGAGCAGTCAGTGCTCTTAACCCCTGAGCCATCTCTCCAGCCCCCATGTTTCAAAAATTTTATAGGTGACACCACTACCTATTAAAAACTCCATTAGTAGGACATGATGGTGTACACCTTTAATCCCAGCACTCAGGAGGCAGATCTCTGTGAGATCAAGCCCAGCCTGGTCTACAGGCTAGATGAGGCTACAGGGAGACCCTGTTTCAAAAACAAACAAAAATCCATGTCTGTATTACCTTTGAGAAGGTAATTTTTTTTTTTGGTCTTTTTGAGACAGGGTCAAGAAGGAAATTTTAAAATGTACATAATTTTGCAAACAATTCACTCCATTCTTAAATACGTAAGAAGTTAAAATCACACAGCAAAAATTGAGACGACATGGGCTCAATCAGATCATACTTCTTTAGTATGATGGAGTTTTGTGCACCAGCATGTAGAGACCAGAGGTTAATGTTGGGTGGCTTCTCTGATGGCTCTCTGCCTTATTTTTCGAGACAGGCTCTCTCCCTGAACCTTGATTCAGGCTAGACCGGCTGGCCAGGGAACCCCAGGGATTCTTCGGTCTTCATCTCCAGGAGATGGTATTACAGGAGCACACTGCCTCACCCTCACCCCGCTTTACGTGGCTTCTAGGGATGAACTGAGGTCCTTGTGCTGCTGACTGAACCATCTTCCTATCCCTCATCATGATGTTCTGAAGACAGAATGCAAGAATCTAGACAGGCGGTTTAGGTCAGAGGGTCAGGTCCCAGGTATTCCACACAAATGATCCATTATTTCACACTTAAACTGCAGGATAAAGTAGATCAGAAGTTGGAAACTTCATAAGAACAAAGTCTAGATTTTTGATGGACCCTCTTCACCCAATTCTATAATCAGTTTTAGGTTAGTCTTGGGTACTGATATGGTAGAAAAATTTAGTGAGACAAGATTTTTCTTATAGGGCTGGAGAGATGCCTCAACATTTAAGAGTGCTGGCTGCTCTTGCAGAGGACCCAAATTCAGTTCCCAGCACACACATGGTGGCTCACAACCATCCATAACCCCAGTTCCAGGGGATCTGACGCCCTCTTCTGACCTCTGCAGGCACTGTACAACATGGGTGTACATACATACATGCATGCAGGCAATACACTCATACACAAAAAATATGGAAAAAGAGTTTTCTTATAAAAAATAAGATTCTGCTGGGTTTGGCGGTGCCCGCCTTTAGTTCCAGCACTTGGGAGGCAGAGGCAGGCAGATATCTGTGAGTTCAAGGCCAGCCTGGTCTACATAGTTCCAGGCCAGCTGGGGCTACAGGGAGACCCTGTCTCAAAAAGGCCAAAAAAAAAAAAAATCAGATTCTAAATACAAGTTTTTTAGAAAGGATGTATTTTTAATAGTGTTCATTTTTCCCTTATTGGTTTACTTGGATTTTCTTCAGCATCTTGAAACAATTCTAATTTTTTTTCCAGAAAGTAGGTATATGTTTTTTGATATTTTAAAATACATGTACAGTGGCCAGGCATGGTGGCACATACCTGTGATCCACTCAGGAGGCAGAGGCAGGTGGATCTCTATTATGAGTTCAAAGTCAGCATGGTTGACATGGAGCATTCCAGGTCAGCCAGGGCTACATAGTGAGACCTACCTCAAAAAAAGAAATACATGTACAATGTATATAAATATATAGTCTTATACACACATTTTTATGTATTTTAGGATAAATTTTTATGTTACATGTATGAGTGTTTTATCTACACACACACACACACACACACACACACACACACACACACACACACAAGCAGTGCCCACAGAGGCCAGAAGAGGGTGTCAGATCCCCTGGAATTGGAGTTACAGGCAGTTGTTAGCTACCATATGGGTGCTGGGAACTGAACCCGGATCCTCTGCACAAACACTGAGCACTCTTAATTGCTGAGCCATCTCTCCAGCCCTCATTTTCATATATTTTAAAACACACACTGGGGAGGGGGGCGGTGTGGAGAGATGGCTTAGCAGTTAAGAGCACTGACTGCTCTAGCAGAGGACCCGGGTTTGATTCTCAGCACCCACAGGGCAGCTACGAACCATCCTTAACTCCAGTTCCAGGGGAATCTGAAGACTTCTTCTGACCTCCATGGCATTGCACGACATGGGTGCACTCACAGGCAATACACTCATAAACATGAAATAAAAATAAATAAAATATTTTTTAAAAAATGGGCTGGAGAGATGGCTCAGTGGTTAAGAACACTGGTTGTTCTTGCAGAGAACCCAGGTTTGATTCCCGGCACCCACATGACAGCTAGCAATTGTCCATAACTCCAGTCCCAGGGGATTCGACAGCCTCTTCTGACCTCTGCGGGCACTGCATGACATGGGTGCACTTACCTACATGCAGGCACTACATTCATACATATAAAATAAAAGTTTTTTTAAAAGTTAAAACAAAACAAAAACACACACAGAACAGCAAAAACACAGTATAGCGCTGGACAATCTTTAAAATTTATGGCTGTCACTTTTCATTGCAAAGCTTCTGCTGGCTTTCTGACTTGCCTTCTTTGATCACACACCCAGGTCAACATGTGTTGACTGATACACTTTTCAAGGACACACCTTTGGCTCGAGTCTACTTTTCATCAGTTCTGTCAATGCTGACAAAACAGAATATAAGCTACACATAATTTTAAAGCTTCCAATAGTCATATTTAAAGCAAAAAATAGTGCCATTAATTTGAATGTATCTTTAAATACATTTTATAAAAATTATGTATTAAGCCATATTTATAATGCTATATAGTAAGTACAACACCTAATAATCTTGTCTTAGTCTTCACATTCTTCTATGTATTTTATGTTTAACCATATTTTATTTTGAATGGGCCACATTTAAAGTGAACAATACCCCAACTTCCAAGTGTTTAGCATGTTGTTAGTGAGCCATATTAAACAGTGCACTTTGAATCCATTCATTTCCAGATTTAGTTCAGGCCAACTGCTTTCCATTTCTGACTCTAGTACAAATGTCTTGCTTTATGCATTCATTCAACCCATAATCTAAATAAAAAATCTCAGTGCATATGAGCAACATGTCTCTTAAGTCTTTTTTGATATTCTAAAAGTTCCATTTCTCCTTTTTAATGTCACTGTGATGGCTGAAGCCCGGGTAGAACTACATTTTAGATTTAGTTGTTTCTGGTTATAACAGGTCAATGTGTACTTATTTCCAAATTTTCACTAAAGTCGGAGTTACAGTTTCATTGGTTTAGAGGTTCAGTTCTTTCTGTATTCACTAACTGGTTCTCTTTAAGAATGTACCTCTGCTGGGTGTGGTGGTGCACACCTTTAGCTCCAGAACTTGGGAAGCAGGATGATCTCTGAAGTTCAAGGCCAGCCTGGTCTACATAGTGAGTTCCAGGCCAGCTGGGGCTACAGGGAGACCCTGTCTCAAAAACCACAAAAAAAAAAAAAACCTGTACCTCAAGGCTGGAGAAATGGCTCAGTGCTTAAGAGTGCTTGCTGCCCTTGCAGAGGATCCAAGTTTGGTTCCCAGCACCCATGAAAGGCAGCTCACAGTTACCTGTAACACCAGCTCCAGGGGATCCAACCAATGCTTTCTTCCGGCTTCTGTGGGCATCTGCACTCATATGCACATACCCACAGACATATACACGTAATAAAAAGAAAATAACTGTACCTCAACAACTTCTGGCAGCCTTGAAATAGAGTTTATACAAAAATGGAAGCTAATTATCAATTTTCAAAATGAGTTGGTGCCCTGGCAATGTTCACAGGTACATTCACTCCACCAGTGGAGTTTAACATGGATGTTGATGAAGGGCCTCTACAAATTTATTATAAAGTAACATATTCTTCCCTTTGAATAAACCTTTTATGCTGTTGTGACCAAGAAACATGACTAAAACCTTTTTCTTCTAGAATTATCTATCACTCCTTAAAAAACATTCACAGTGGAAGCATTCTCATAAGAATTCTTGTGAATTCTCTGATGGTAAGTAAGGTGTGAGTGCTGTCTAAAGGCCTTCTTACATTCCTTACATTTGTAGGGTTTCTCACCAGAATGAATTCTCTGATGCTGAATAAGAGATGAATGAAGTCTGAAGGCTTTCCCACACTCCTTACAGTCATAGGGTTTCTCCCCAGTGTGAATGCTCTGATGTTGAGTAAGCTGTGAGAGCAGTCTGAAGGTTTTCTCACATTCCTTGCACTTGTAGGGTTTCTCACCAAAATGAATACTCTGGTGTTGAGTCAGCTGTGAGAACAGCCTGAATGCCTTCCCACATTCCTTACAGTCATATGGTTTCTCTCCAATATGAATACCTTGATGTGAAATGAGCTCTGAGTAACGACGGAAGAATTTCTGACACTGCTTACATTCATATGGTTTCTCACCAGTGTGAATTCTCTGGTGCAGAGTTAGATGATAGCCTCGACTAAAGGTCTTCCCACATTCTTTACAATCATAGGGCTTCTCACCCGTGTGGATCCTCTGATGGAGCGTGAGCTGCTGTCGCACTCGAAAGGCCTTACCACACTCCTTGCAGTCATAGGGTTTCTCGCCAGTATGAAGCTTGTGATGTAGCCGAAGGCCTGTGCTACACAGAAAGGCCTGACCGCACTCCTTACACTCATAGCACTTCTCAGCAATATTCAGTCTCTGATGTCGAGTGAGGTGTGCATACTGTCTGAAGGTCTTCCTGCACTCCTTACATTCGTAGGGTTTCTCACCAGTGTGAATCCTCTGATGGAGATTAAGCTGTCCTCGCACTCTAAAGGCCTTCCCACACTCCTTACAATCATAGGGCTTCTCGCCAATATGACTTCTCTGATGGACTCGAAGGTCTGAGCTACATGTGAAGATCTTTCCACATTTTTTACATTCATACAATTTGTCAGATGTGTGAATCCTCTGATGTCGACTGAGGTGGGCACACTGTCTAAAGGCTTTTCCACATACTGTACACTCATAGGGTTTCTCACCAGTATGGATTCTCTGATGGAAAGTAAGTTGCTGGCGTACTCTAAAAGCCTTCCCACATTCCCCACATTCATAGGGCTTTTCTCTACTATGACCTTTCTGATAGAGACTGACAGATGTGTGCTTTCTGTAAGTAGGTCTTTTTCTAGGGGTGTTTCGTGTCACTTGCCTGAAATACACCCTATGAGAACCCTCTTGTTCTTCAAACATTTCATATTCAAAGTCTTTCCCAAAAAAGGAATCTTCAAGGCCATGACTTTTAATTCTTTCCATTATTCCCCACTGAGATAAATCAATTTCGTAAGTATTCTTTTCTTGAAGTAACATTTTACTGCCATATCTGGTTTCCCAATCTGAAACAAAACAAGCACATGATATTCTCCTAATCTGGATGAAATAAAAAAAATAAAAGCTTTATAGAAGAAAAAGAAAGGGACTGGAGAGATGGAGGAGCACTGGCTGTTCTTACAGAAGACCCACGTTCAAATCCCAGCACCCACATGGCAGCTAACAACCATCCGTAACTCCAGTTACAGGGGATCCAACATCTTCTTCTGTTCTCCACAGGCACTGCACAACATGGGTGCACTTTCACACATGTAGGCATAATACACATACACATAAAATAAATTAAAAAAATTAAAAAAGAAAAGGAAAAACAACAGAAAATAGCCCTATACCAGGTGTAATGGCATGTACCTATAATCCCAGCACCCATGAGGCTGAAGAAGAATCTCCAGTTCCAGGTCAGCCTGAGCTACATAGTGAGATCTTGTCTCAAGACAAGGTCAAAGGGGCTACAAAAACCTGAAAATAATCAAATGATTTGAAAAAGAATCACTACTTAAAATATTTAAACGGCTTATTTTTTTGATCAGAATAAAGTGCATTGTCTCATGAATGACATGACCTCTGTTTCCCATACAAAGTCATTGTCCAGGGAGGAGGTGCACAGTCATATGAAAATAGAGTCCTACAAGCTCCTGGGACCCTGCTCATATGAATCTACAACAATGACGTCAGCATATACAAGTCCCATGCAGACTCAAGCAGACAAAAACCCAGCATAAAACTGGGGAAATGGACAGCTGACCCCAATCTTAGCTGGAGAAATATTAGCAACTGATTACTGCTAGGTGAGGAAGAGCTGATCTTCCTAAAACGAGGGACTCTAGATAAGCTGACTAGACTTCAGTAGATGAACTTGCACTGAGGAATGTCTGGGGACACTGACTTGACACAATAGGCTTTAACATAAAGGATAGAATGTACAAATTCCAGTGGTGGCTATGGGAAGATATCAGTGTGGATGGGGGCATAAAGATGATTAAGAGTGATTGAGACGTTCTGTATGAAATACACAAAAATTCAATAAAAAAATTAAAAAAAAACCACACCAAACAACAAAAACTAATTAGGATACTTTTGTAGAATTTAGAGGAGAAAGTTAATTTATGGCCTCAATAAGATAAGATATAGGAGCTAGAGAGAGAGCTTGGCAGTTAAGAGCACTGGCTGCTCATGTAGAGGACCTGGGCTCCATTCCCAGCACCCACGTGGTGGCCAATAACCACCTATAACTCCAGTTCCAGTTCCGTCTTCTGATCTCCATGGGCATCGCATGACACAGGTGCACTTTTCATACATGCAGACAATACACTCATAGACATAAAAATAATACATTTAAAAAAGATAAGCTATAAATGACATGTGTTCAAGATGACTGCAATTGGCTAAACACTGAAATAAGATGGTAATGTCAGAATTTACTAGAAATTAAAAATTATCAATCTAGAAGGAAAATCAGGAAATACCAAAAGATTTGTAAAAAAGAAAAAAAGCAAGAAAGCATTAATGTTCAGAATATAAAAGACCATACAGATGGTCACAAGAAATATCAGCCAATGGAAAAATAACAGAATGCACAAAATAAATGTAAGCATAAACAATTTAGGACAAAATATTCATACTGATTAAAGAATACATCAGAACAAACTATAAAATGTATCCTATAAATTCTGAATGCTTTCATCAAAACATAAAACACCAAAATTGCCAGAGTTGACATAGTGAACTCAAGACTGTCATATATGGCCTCCACTGAAATGACCAGCCAGATTAAGAATCTTGCATTTTGGGGACCGGAGAGATGGCTCAGTGGTTAGGAGCACTGGCTGCTCTTGCAGGGGGTTTAGTTTCCAGCACCCACATGGTGGCTAACAACCGTTCTTAACTCCAGTTCCAGGGGATTCAACACCCTCTTCTGTCCTCCACAGGCAATGCACACATGGTACACTTACATTCATGTAGGCAAAACACACACATATAAAAGAAAAAAAAAATGGACAGCACAGTGGGAAACACAGACAAACTGGGATTCCAGGGCTGGGAGTGGGCCTGTGGCAGAGGGCCTGTTTAGCATGTGTGATGCCCTCTACTCCCTCCCCAGCACCACTAAAAAGAAAAATGATAGAATTAAGTATGCATTGTAGTGCACTGTGGGTGAACGGACTGACACTCAAATGATCAGCTGGAGTCTCTTCTGGTTGGTTCTGTGCCTCTGACCACTCTCTCTAAACACCTCATTTCTCATTCTAATCCCCTGTATCACCGCTTTATTCACCTTCTTCCAACATGTAATTAGTTCAGGATTTGTGGAGTTTTGCTTTGTTTGTTTATTTTGTGGAATTTTTTTTTTTTTTTTTTTTTTTTGAGACAAGGTCTCACTATGCAGCCCAGACTGGCCTCAAACTCACAGAGACCCACCTGCCTCTGCATTGAGTTCTGGGATTAAAGGCCTGTGCCACTATGCCAGAGCACTTCAGGATACTTAACAAGCCATTTAGTTCTTATTTTATCTTGTTTTGCGGTGTTCAAGATGAAGCTCGGAGCCTTATGGGTGCTAAAGCAGATGTTCTACCACTGAGTTACCCCTACAGCCCAGGCATTTACTTGTTACTAGATGTTACTAGTTACTTCGTTACTAGATGTAAATCCACTAAATTAGAGCAACAAAGAAGTAGATACATAAAAACCTAAACAGATACCAGGCAGCAAGGTGGCAGAAGCCTACAATCCCAGCACTGCTGACCACAAGGCAAGAGGACGGGGCATACAAGCCCAGCCTGGCTACAGAGTGAGACGCCGTCTCAGAGATAAAAGTTGAAATACAAAAGATGAGCTACAAAGAAATTAGTTCTAAAACAGGCAAAACTATTACCACTGGGGAAGAAAGCTCTCTGCTGTAGAAAGGGAGGGAAATATAAGGGAGAAGAGATAAAGGGTGAACTGAGGGCAGGGAAACTTTAGTGACTCGGCTGAGATCTAAGTTTCCTTCACCAGATTCAGGTCTCGGCGCAATCAGCATCTACAGGGCTGCCTCCTCCAGCTAGCAGGGGTCCGCCCTGGTCTACCTCTGCCTGATTGGTCCTTGCTCACCTTGGCTCCACCTTCTTTTCTCACCCCTCACAATCATCCAGGGCTCCTTCCCTTGTTCCAACAGGGTAATCACATCTGGCTTAGAAATGGAACATCCTGCTTGAAAGAAAAGAATAGAATATATTAAAGAAACAATTTTATTTAATAGCGCATGCCTTTAATCCCAGCTCTTGGGAGGCAGAGGCAGGCAGATCTCTGTGAGTTCAAAGCCAGCTTGGCCTACATAGCCAGTTCAGGTCAGTCAGGGCTATAGAGTGAGACTCTGTCTCAAAAAAACAGAATGACTTTATGCCATCAGAGTTAAAAAAAAATTAAAATTAAAGTTACTTCAGAATCAAGGGTAGGAAAGTGGTGTTATTTTAATTTAAACTTCTACAGGCACTACCTTTTAAAAAATTAATTAATTAGCTAGGTATAGTGGCAAACCTTTAATATTAGCACTTGGGAGGCAGAGGTAGGGAGATCTCTGTGAGTTCAAGGTCAGCCTGGTCTACATACCGAGAGCCAGGTCAGTCAGGGCAACATAGTGAGGCCCTGTCTCAAAAAACAAAACAAACAGCCAGGCATGGTGGTGCACACCTTTGATCCCAGCAGGCAGGTAGAAGCAGGCAGATCTCCGTGAATTTCTACATTATGTGACACAGATAAGCTTACCCAGTGACACCAAGTTGCTGTAGTTTTCTAATATCACATCTCTGTAAAGATCCCTTTGATAAGAGTTCAGGCATTCCCACTCTTCCTGAGAAAAGTCTATAGTCACATCTCTGAACATCACCAAATCCTGAAAGGACAAACTCAAGTATTATTTGTGGGCCAAATGTTTATGCAATGTTTAACCGGGAATGGAGGCAGAAGCAGGTAGATCTCTGTGAGTTCAAGGCCAACCTGGTCTCAATAGTGAATCCAGGCCAGCTGTGACTACAGGGAGACCCTGTCTCAAAAAAAAAAAAAAA